TTCTCTTTATTCTCAAAAGGATAATAATCAGACACTCCCCCCCCGAAATCATAAGTGTTGCTTGCCAAAAACTAAAAGGCAAAATCTTTCCTTCCTCACTGGCAGCCCCACCAGGCCCCTCACACTCACGCGGAGGGGGGGGGGGTTTAAGCCGGCCACCCAGGGCCTTGAATGCATGGGTATTAGCATAACCAAAGGACACAATGTAACCAGGGAGGCGGTGGGGGCTTGCCCTAGGCGGGTAAAAGTGGGGGGGGGTGGTGTAGGGGGGGGTGTAGGGGTGAGAAGAGACATATGTAATACTTTGAACAATAAAAATAAATAAATAAATAATTTATGAGCCAGTCTCTGCCAAGGAACTTTTGCCAGAAAGGGTGAGGAAGTCAGAATGCCTCAGGATAAGTGAGAAAATAAACAAGGAAGGGAAGTACGGCATCTTAATAAAAGGCCCACCCACTCCAGGACTCCAAATTGCAGTTTACACCTCGCCCACAGCTGTGGCCTCATACCACAGCCATGGCTCAGTCACTGGCTCTGAGCCTCCTTTTCCTGGTCCTGGCCTTCGGCATCCCCTGGACCCAAGGTACAAGGAGGGAGCAGCCTAGGATGGGGAAAGGGGCTGGAGAGGCCTGGTTGGGAGCCTATACATAGTCCCTGGCTCCCTGTGAACACCCTCTGCAGACAGTGATGGAGGGGCACAGGACTGTTGCCTCAAGTACAGTGTAAGGAAGATTCTTGACAGGCTTGTCCGCAGCTACCAGAAGCAGGAGCCAAGCTTGGGCTGCCCCATCCCGGCTATCCTGTGAGTGGGTGCGAGGGTGTGGGTGAAGCTGAGTGGGCTGGGCAAGGTGGGCAAGACTAGGACAGGCTTGCTAATGCCCGACTCCAGGTTCTCACCTCGGAAGCGCTCTCAGGCAGAGCTGTGCGCAGACCCTAAGGAGGCCTGGGTGCAGAGGTTGATGCAGCGTCTGGACACATCACCAGCCCCACGGAAACCAGCCCAACGCTGTAAGAAGGACAAGCCTGGCAAGAAGAGAAAGGGCTGCAAAGGCTGTAAGAGGTAAGGAAGCTGAAGGGACTGGGGAGGGAAGTGAAGAAGAGCCTCTGTCAATCCTTCAAGCCCCTCTTCTCCCTTTCCAGGACTGAAGAGTCTCAGACCACCCAAAAGCCATAGCCCAGTGACCAGCCTGGAGCCCAGGGGATCCCCATCAGCCACACCAGGGTTTGGAGCCCCTATTCCAGGGGCAAGAAGCTGGCTAAAAGACAGGGAGGACTCAGGGGCCCCAGAGCAGTCCTTCTACCCCCATGCTGGCCTTGCCTCATCCTTTCTCCTGCTGCAACTATCCCTTCCGTATTTCTAGCCCCGCTGCATGGCTGAGCTGCCCACACCAGGCCAGGCCCAGAGAGGCAGAGGAGGGAGTGTGAGAGGAGGCAGCAGGACTGTCCCCTCTGAGGAAAGGTCACCCAGGACCCTTGACCTGAACCTCTGCTCCCCACTGCACCCCACCTCTTCCTTGTAAATATCATTTATATGTAACTGAATAAACAGCTGTTCTGGCTTCCCACCACGTATCTGTTCCTGCACCTTTGTGTCCCTGGGGAAGCCATGGTCACTAAGGGGTGGGAGGGGGTTGTTATGCC